AGGGGGACCAACTGGTGCTATGGTGTTCTCTTGGCTTTGAGCCTGAAGTGATACAAGCTTAAATTTTCTTTCATCCAGCACCCACTATGTGCTAAGTACTAGATAAGTGCTTTACACAGATTAATTTATTCATAAAAATTCCTGAGGTTGGTTCTAATATTATTCCCATTTTATGGATGAGGCATAGAGAATGGATGTGCAACAGAGATGTTATACATAGTGCAGAGCCAGGATTTCAACCCAACCTAGCCAAGAGCCCTGACTGAGTTATTACTACAGATGTGGCAATTCTTACAAACTCAGCAGCCCTGAGTAAGGGGGCCCCTCCTCATCGGACAGAATTGGAAAGAAGATTTCCAGAAGGTGACTAATGACTCATAGCCATCTAATGACACTTTCCAGAGCCTCTCCAGTCTCCTCTAACTGGTCCCAAATAACTTCCCCTTCTGGCCAAGCTGCTAGCTGGACACCAAGAATCATCAAGCTATAAACTCACATAAAAGGTGGTAATAACTCAAATGTCCATAAATAATGGATAAATAAACAAACTGTGGTATAACCATACAATAATATTATTCAGCCTTAAAAAGGAATGAAGTACTGATACATGCTATAATATGAATGAACCTTGAAACATGGTAAGTGAAAGAAGCCAGGCACAAATACCACATATTGTATGATTCCATTTATATGAAAGGTCCAGAACAGACAAATTCATAGAGCCAGAAAGATTGATGACTGCTCAGGGCTCAAAGGGATGGGAAATTAAGGTCATGATTATGCCCTAAAATTGTTGGTGATAGTTGCACATATCTGGAAGTATACTAAAACTACCACACTGTGCACTTTAAATGGGTAGATGGAAGGGCAGGGATATAGCTCAGTGGTAGAACTACATCCTAGCATGTAGGCCTAGGATGCTCGAAGCCTTGGGTTCAGTTCCTGGCACTGCAAATAAATAAATAAATAAATGGGTGAACTGTATGAAATGTGAATTATATCACAATAAACCTGTTACCAAAATAAAAACAAAGCAACACTCACATCTTGCAGGACCTGAGGCCATCGCTCAGTCATGACAAACCCAGCCGAGCCATGACAGCTCAGCTCTGACAACATCCTCACAGTCTAAGTTTCCTTCTGTCTCTGCAGAGCCCACAGCTCCCCTAAATTCTCCAGTTGATTTACTACTATGCAATGAAGGTAGAGGACACCTCCCCTTCCTTAAACCTCTCTGTCCCTGGGTTAAGGCCAAAACCAAGGAGGATGCCGCCTGCTCCATTCCTGCCTGGTTGACACCTGGAGGGTTTTCTCAGAACTCACCAGTCAGCTACTGACATTACAGTTGACTCTGCAGAAAGGTACTGGGTAGTGCTAGAGGACCCAGATTAAGCTATGTCTTCCACTCACCTACACATACACCTCTTGGTACCTTAGTATCAGGCCAGTCTCCATATCCTAGAGAGGACTGGCTCTGGGTTGCTGCGGGAGGGTGCTGTTTGTCCACAGGTACCCCCTGAGGCTGGGAAAGGGAAGTCCATCCCATCTGTTGATGGGCCAAAAGTGGAAGGAAATTGGATGGGACTGGGGGTTCTCCAAATGACCAGAACAGGCTCTCACCCTGAAAAAGAGGCAAGAATTGGAGGGTGGCTGGTGGTGCTGAGTAAGTGAAGCCAGAGAGGATGGTTGCTTTCCCCTTTAAGCTGACCCTTAAACAAATGCCCAAGAAATCTAAATCTAAGGGATCTCTGAGTGTCATTGGGAGCAAGGGAGCCCTTCCCTGACTACTCTTTCCCCATTCCTCCCACTGAGAGTGGAAGATGTGCCCTATCCTGAATGGGAATACCTAGTGGCAGTGCAAACACAGCAGCTGACTGGGCCCTGGAACTGGCTCATCCAGCAAGGGGGAAGCCCACTTACTTTCTCCAACTGATGGAGATTGTGGTACCTAGCATCCAGCTGGGCCTCCTGCTACCATGCTCCTGGGAACCCAGGAAGGGCAGGCCCTGGGACACCTGTGATTTGTCTGTGCTGGAGCAGAGGCAGGACCAGAGTTTAGAGACCATCACCCTGCCCCCATCTGCTGTTATTCCCTTCCCAATCACCACATTCAGGTTCCTCCTTACATTTCAAAAACAAAGCAGGAGGTACTGAGGCATAGGAAATCCTTTCTGGATCCCTAGGGTCTTGACCAGGTTGGGATGTCAGTGAGGCCACAGGCAGAGACTGCCCAAGTAGATGGTAGAGACTATAGGACAGTGGCCCTCTGGTTCCATTTGCTGGATGAAGAATCCCATTCCAGTGAATTCGCTCCAGCTGGGCTTACTAGCAGCCAGCTCTGAGTCCCTTTTATGGGGCTGCAAGAGGGTCCCCCGGAGCCAATCAGTGCCCTATACATTCAGAAGAGGCCGACACCACTCCATCAACACCCACCACCACCACCACTCCTGCATGTCCTCGCTAAGTGGCAGTACCCAGGCACAAGTGCACCCAGCCTTTCTTACCCAGTACCAGCAAGAGGTAGCTAGACAGGATGCGGCAGTTTTTCAAAATGGAAGAACGCGCGAGTGGGAGCTCAGTGACCCTGCATAGTCATTCTCCCAGAAAGGGAACTGGACCAGACCGACAGCGTGCTCAGAAAACACGGAGGGATCCAGGGATCTGGAGTGCGAAGCTTAAGTTTAAGCAGCTACCCAAACTCTCACCTCAGTCCCAGCTGGGCCAGGGCCGGAGACCCAGTCCCACCTCCACCCCCACACGCACTCACTGCGCAGAAGTCCTGACTTCATAACTTCATTCCTGTGCGCACAGGTATGGAGGCTGTCATCCTTCTGCCTTGGTCCACCAAGAAAAGAGCCAAAGCTTCTGCTGAGGTCAAATCCCACATGGAGAAGACAACGTGGGAAAAAGACAATAAAGAACTCAGGTAAAAAAGAACACTGGAAACTCCTCAGAGTCAACATGAGCTGGCCTTGCTGGGTTCTCCCACAACCAGCGACTGGCAGAGATCCTAAACCTTCCAGGTCCTGGATCCTTGCGGGACTCTGCAGATGTCATCAGCCTCTTCCCTGGAAGAATGGCTTCACTCATCTGCCGTGTGTGTCTGAAGCCCAACCAAGGACCCTGAAGAGGATACTGGAATGAAGACCTCTTACTGGCACAGAAGGATGCCATTAGTGAAATGAAAAATGAAAACAAACAGGACCCTTCAGGGTCCAGCAGGTGCTGTTCCATTTTTGTTTGAACAGAAACCTGAACCTTTGGTAGGGCCTGGGGAATCTCAAGGGATGGGAAGGTTGAGTTCAGTGTTTGCTTCTGCATGTATTTCTCTATACTAGACCATCTTACTTGAATGATAGAAGTAAACTTGAGAGCCAGACACAAGAAAAACTCAAGTGAAGAATGGAGGTGGCCAGTAGAGGGGTGACCAGTATCCTACTTGGGGGGATGGCAGTGGCCTCCTGTGGGGGTCACTGGGGAGTTTGGCTGCCCTCCAGGGTCCACTGCAGGGCTCCTCCACACTTAGCAAGGATCCTTAGCAAGGATCTCTCCTGTTAAGCTCAGATCCCACTGGGTCACACTTTCCTCAGGACCTTTCTTACCTGTCCTCCCTACATAGGCTGCACTCCAACAGACTGGTTCTTGCTGGTGCCAAAAACTCTACAGTTAGTTCATGCTGCTCTCCTCTGTGCACCGACTAGCACCTTGAGCACAATCCCTCCTCTCTAGTCACCCACTCAATCCCTTTGTGGCTGTGTTCCCTCTCTCTCTCCCTCCCTTCCTTCTTTCCTTCCTTTCTTCCTTCTTCCCTGCCCCCTTTTTCTTTGCACACATACCTTCCCTCTCAATCCTCCCAAGCCTCTTTAAAGCTGAGTCAAAGAAAGGGCAGTCACTCCTGGCACCTCCTGATTCTGTATATGTAGAAGCTAGATACTACAAAAAGTGCTGCCAATGAGGAGGCTTCCAGGTGGCTGCTCTCTACTCCAGGGACCCTTACAGCTCAGCTTCTTACAGCCCGACCCTGCCCAGCTTCCAGACTCATTCACCTAGGCCATTTTGCCTCTTGCATCCCAGCAGGAGCGGGTGGAGGGGGCGATCCGAGATTGGGGGGGGGCGGGAGAGAGAGAGAGAAGAGAGAGAGAAACCCAAGAAAATGCCCGAGTTCTATGCGGGTTTGTAGGTGCCGCCCAATTATGGCCTCAGCGCTGCAGCAAAACCCAAGGCCTTACTCTGGACCCTGCTGTCTGTCAGGTTATCAGTTCCATGTCCTCCCCACCCCCGGACCCCCCGCACGCACCCCGCTAGAGCCAGTCCGTTGGTGTCCTTGCCTCACTCTCCAAGGCTCATTTACCCTACTCTCGGTCTTGGTCTCCCGGTAGGACCATGAGAGGCTTATGTTCAGTGTTCATGAGAGTGGGTGTGGGTATGAACCCGGAGAGTGGTGCACTGAACCCCAGGCCGCAGCACAGTTTCCATCCCACTCCCGCGAAGCGCCTGAGCAAGGCCAACCTCCTGTTTCTGTGCACAGTCTCGCCAGGGTCGCCTTCTTCGTGCACTCTGATTATTGATCCAGCTGAACCAGTAGGAGCGCCGAGCTGCGCTTCCCTGGGGATGGAGGGGGTGGGGAGATGGGTAGGCTACGGTGATGGTGAGGGGAGGGGAGATTGATAAACATTAAGAGATGGTTGTAGGGCGCTATTCAGTACCCCGGAGCTGCCCCAGACTCTCCCTGCCAAGCATCTAAGTTAGGCCGAACTAGCGGTGGGTGGGGACACCGCCTGCTCCACCTCCTCCCTCTACCCTTCAGCTAGGCGCAGAGCCCTTGTGCGAATGCCAGAGTCGGAGAATCCTGACTCCTGCCCAATCAGCAGGGAGGGGAGGAGCAGCCGGGAGGGGGCGGGAAGAGGAGTCGGGTAGCTGGTGAGAGGGGCTGGTGAGAGGGGCTGGGAGCCGCCAGCTTGGCCAGCCCAAGCTGGCTAGGCTGCGACGAAGGCGGCAGTGGCGGCCGGAATGGGCGATGGGGACGCCGAACGCGACCGCCGCCCCGCGCGCCGGGCGGAGTCTGGTGGCGGCAGTGGGCGCAACGGGGACATAGGCGGAGCGGAGGACTTTCGAGCTAATGCTGGTGGCCGAAGCCCAAGGGAGGTTGCCGGGACCTCGGCCTCCAGCCCCGCAGGTTCCAGGGAGAGCGGTGCGGACAGTGATGGGCAGCCTGGGCCCGGCGAGGCGGACCACTGCCGCCGCATCCTGGTACGAGGTAAGGGGACAGCCGGCGGCTCTGGCCAGTGGGCCCCCATGTGGCCCCTACTGGGGCCTCCGACTTTCCTGCAGCCCCTACCTCTCAATTCGTATATTCGTTCATTCATCATTCCGCCGTTCGTTCAGAAAATATTATTTTGAGTGTCTATTGTGTGCTGGACACTGAGCTGAGTGCAGGGGACAAAGCAACGTATGGAAGAAGTCCCCGTTCCTCCACGTTACAGTTCTCTTCCTCTTGGGTCTGTCCCCTCTCCCTAGGCCCATCTGGATTGGTTACTGTCAGTAGGGACAGAAATGGATTTGGGGAAGTAGGATGCTGGTCCCTGCCTTGCGCCTCTCAGGGTAAGGGCGGAGAAAAGCGTCACGCGCGCTCTGCAAGAACAGGATGTGGAAAGACCAGAGTGGGCAACAGCTGAAGAAGGCCTGGGCTCCCCTCGGTGGCCCGAGCGCTTCCCCGCCTCCTGCCCAGCATTGTTTCCGATCCCCAGCAACCGGGATCTGCACCAGATGCTCCCGGAAGCGGGCACCGGTAGCGGAGAGTGGCGTGCGCGTTACTCAGTAGCCTGTGCTTTACTGCTCCAGTTTCCACTTTCTCGCGCCGCCTGGGCCCAAGCTGGCTCTTGGCGCCGCCTTCCCCTGGCCTGGACTTTTGCGTTATTCACTTTCTCCCTTGCCCCTCGCCCTTTTTCCAAGCCATTTCTCGGCGCTGCACCCTCCCAGCCAGCACTCTTCCTGCAAACACACCTAGAGGCCTAGACTCCCAGCCCTCCCCCCACCCCCCCATCCCACCCCCAACGCCGGTCTCCCGCAATGCTGCGGGCTCCGCTTTTACTCGTTCTGGGCCTCGCCAACTAGATGGAAGGAAAGGAGTCTTCGGGGTCCTGCCCTCAGGCCGTTTCCAAGCCTCTACTAAATCCTGTTGTGCCCCGCCATCCCAGAGCCTGCGTTCGCGGGTAACGGTTCACAGCTCCCCGCGGCTGCTTCTTTGGCTTACTCTTCCTGCCCTTGCTGCTACTTCCCAGCCTCTTCTTTGAGCCCATCCTGCAAGCTACCGGGCCTCTGGAGGCCATCGGCCAGAGCTGAGTTTCCTTGTCTTGCCTGGGGATCCTGAGTTTATCTGAGCTGAGCTCTGGAAAACCTTGGCCGATCAGGTACAACTTCCCTACAGACGCTCTGAGCATCTCCGGGGGTGGGAGACAGGGCTAACACAGAGCGTGGAGGCAACCCAACATGAAGGAGAGAAATAACTGTCTTGAACATAGACACAGGGATCCTGGCTTGGCAAACATTTCTGGCACCAGGCATGGTCACCAGGAGGTTGAGTGGCTACTGCTGCTCTTGGGACAGACTTAGGTCAAGATAATTACACCACCAGGAATTACAGCAGGTGTGTGGACCTGGAATTAAATTAGGGCTGTTCTGGGTGTAAGGGGTGAGCAGCTAGTTTGGTTTCATTAAGGAAATCGGTTGATAAGACCTCAAGTCACTGCCACTGATGCTCAAGTCACAGCACACCCCATCTAAGGATGGGCATTTCCTTCTGCCAGGAGAGCTATGGGTTCTGAGCTAATGGTTTCTCACCTACCATCCCATCCATTCTATTAACCTTTATATAGAAAAAAATACTTTTTTGTGTTCAAATGTCAATGAAATAGTCTCCAGGTATAGACTCTAAGAAGGTGGGAGTCAAAAGTGACCTTCCACCCTATGGGATGGGGCCACCCAAGCCAGGCAGATGTGTGCATCCCCATTTGTAGGGCAGCCTGTCTGCATCTTTAGAGGCGTACTTTTATAAAAGTACGTATACGTTGCAAAGCTGTTACATTTGTAAAATACAAGGGAAATATTAGATATAAAGCACAGAGGACAAATGTATGCACCTAACAGAAATGAGAGGCAAATTGAGCCTTCATAAATCCCTCTGCCCTCCCCCATTTAATGACAACGAGGTTATTACAAGCCTGAAATGCCCAGGATGTCATTTAACACTAATCCCTCCTGGTCAGGATCACCTGTGTCAGTCACTCACAGCTCCACCATGGCTCAGGGTGGAGGCTTTGATAAATGAAACAAGCCTGGCACTGGTGGAGGAAACTGTGCAGTATCTTGGCCCCAGAATGAATGTCCCTCCCACAGGCCCTAGGTATATTTTGCCCTTGACCACTGAGGACTCCCAAAGTACTTTGGAAGGAAACCATTAAAGAGTGGGAGGCGATTGCCTTTTCAGCCCTGGTTGCTGTTGAGGGTAGCCTCCACCCCCCCCAAAAAAGGGCCCCACTTCCCTTGGATCTTTCCAGCTTCCTTTTCCTTCTGCATTCCCCTGCCTGAGGATCACCCCCCCATCCCCACCCCACCCCCACCCCACCACCCCACCCCTGTTGCAAGTCTGTTGAGGGAGTCATTTGGCACCAGGAAGTAGGACATCTTGGGCAGTTGGTTTAGAATACTGGTCTTCAGCCCCTTGAATCTGAACCAGTTCCTTTGTCTCCGGGTCTATTTCCTCATCTGTACTAGGCGTGCCAAGGATGTGAGGTACTGTCTTTAAAAAACCGAGAGAGATTTCCATAAATATTTGTTGATGGAAAGAAGGGGATGGCCCTGAAGTGACCCACAAACCATTTCTAGTGTGGGGGGCAATAGGACTCTGTGCTCAGAGGCCTCTTCCAACTCACTGTCCCCCTCCCCCTCCAAAACTAAGATTTACTGCAAATTGACCAGCCCAAGGTCAGGAACTGGCGGCGGCGGGGTGGGGGGGAGGGGTTGGGGGGTAGTGAATCAGCTCCACCTTGCAGACAAAACAGGTGCGGCCCTCCCTAGTCCCCTTGGTGGACCCTGCTTGGCCTCCAGCTGGCTCTGCCATATAGAGTAGGGACCAAGAGAGGCAACGGTTCTGTCCACCCTGCCTCAAATGGAGGCTGCTTCATGCCAATGAGATTTCTGTGTGGCGCACACCCCACCCCACACAGTGAGGTTTCCTCCTGGACCCCATAGCCTCTTAGGCCGGCCCCGCAATGTGCTTGGCCTTTGGCGGGTGAAGAATGGAGATGGAAAGATCCTTTTGTTTCGTAATGGAAAGAGTAGGACAACGCATGGGCAGGAGCAAGCCTTCCACGCCTCACACGCAGTGGCCAGCCGTGCGCTTGCCTTTTCGGTGGAGCCGGGATTCTGGCAGGCAAAAGACTTGGGACAGTAAAACTCAAAACTCCCTGCAACTTCTCAAACCACGCTGACGCCCATTTACGCAGATGCGCCTACCTGCTTCCCAGATTAATCAGAAGTGAATTCAAACAACCTTGAAAGATCTGAAAATGCTCATGGCTCCAATACCTGCTCACCCAAAGCCGTCCCTTCGCAGTTAGACGCAGTCCCGGCAGGGATCTCAAAACCCTATTCAACGCGTACCTTCCTTCCGCACCCCTTGGTCTGGAAGCGGGGGAGTAACAGCAGGATTCCTCGGAGAAATGATACACATCCATCCATCCATCAGCGAAAATGCTCTCACGCGGGAACTGGGACGCATGGTCCCAGTGTAGGAGGTGGGGGTGGGGCACGCGAAGCCCCGGCCTCGGGCTTGGGCTTTGCGATTCCAGCTATAGGTGTATTGGAAGGAAGAGAAATTGACTTTAGCGGGAGAATCTGAAATTGGCCGGGTCCCGCGTCCCAGATGCACATACACAGAGCACAATGGCGTGCAACCCGCGGGGTCTGCCTCCCACCGAAGACTCCGAAAGCGCCACTCAAGAGGCCCTGGCTTCAGAGGGTCTGGCTAGGAGCTGACTGCGGGGACAGATGTCCCCCCCCTCCCCTTATCTCCTCTGCCCCGTCAAAGCCGGGTCTGGGCTCAGCGCAGTGTCCTCTGGATTTCCACTCGAATTTCCGGCCGGCCAGCCACTGGGCCATTGGCCAGGCTCTAGGCCTAGCCTTGTGCAGCAGGCGTTTTGGCAACAAAGATGGGGCCAGTGGTGTACTAGAATGCGCGCTAGACTGCCAGTTCCAGCTCTGGGGCCTCTAGGGACAGCGGAAACTTTCTGTTTGCATCTGAGTCTCCAGGGATCCCATAAACTATATTCAGAGATCCAGCCCCTCAACCCCGCGGGTGTTGGCAGGTTTAAAGGGTTCATACGGTTACTTTGGGAATTTTATGTTTGGGGTTTTTTGTTTGTTTGTTTTGGGTTTTTGTTTGTGTGCGTGTGCGTGTTTTTCCTTCCCTGACACAGGGCTTGCTATGTAGCCCAGTCTCCCTTTGAATTCTCCATCCTCCTGCCTCAGCCTCCCAAGTGTTGGGATTGCAGATGTGCACCACCACACGTGGCTCTGTTTTAATTTTTATTGTTTAATTTTAGTGTTTGTGGAGCATGTTGGGTTTCTTTGTTTTATTTTTGGAGTCTTTGTTTATATTTTTTCTCCTTTTGCTTTGTTTGGGCAGGGAACCCACATTCTCATAGCAGGCCTAGGTCCTGTCTCTTGGATCATTATTTTCCCCTTTATGCACACACCGCCTGCTCCCACCCTCCCAACACCCCTCAAGAAAACTAAAGGCAAATGCTGGTTGTGTCTCCTCCGCCCAGCCTTCATTTTAAGTGAACTGTGTTTGGAGGGGTGTTAAATGACTCCTTCCTTTCACAGTATTTCTGTCTTAACGGACACCTGCGCGGGTGGAATCCCCACTGCACCCCTCTCCACCCCCACCACAACGCACACATACACACTTATATCCACAAGGGCCAACCCCCAGGTAGCGCCAGGTGACTCTGCCGGGTATGGAGGACAAAACCTCAGGAAACTGAGACAGTGAGTGGGTACTTGGGGCTGGTGAGAAGCGGGGAGAAGCGGGGAGAATGCTGCGGCGTGCTTCCAGGGATGGTCTCCGCACCAGACTCAAGTCTTGGCTTTTTTGCGTACCATCTATATGGGCGTAGGCCCGACGCCATTTCCTCCATTACCTCCTAGTACAAGCCCCCTCCCCATTGGATAGATTTCTTTGATTCTATTTTAACT